CCCCCCCCCCCCCCCCCCCCCCCGTCAGCACTGATGTAACGCTAAACTAGCGGCTCGCAATGCAGGTGCACTAGCTAAAAAGCTAAAGGCAGCCTCTTCCCTCATGCTGAACCCTCTCACTGAGCGCACCCCTGCCACTCGAAAACTGTCGGTACAAACAGTGCACGGCTCAGATGTGCATCCATCTCTCCCCCACACGACAACACCCCCGCCAAAAAAACCCAAAAAACTGTCAGTATAAACAGCACGCAGCTGCCCCTGTGTCCCCCAAAACTGTTGGTTTAAACAGCGCGCTGCGCAGCTGAGGACAAGTCTCCGTTCCACCCCCACGGACAAATTCACGGACGAGATGAGCGCCCCGCCATGGCAAGTTATCTAGGGGAAACACTGGTCTCAATGTGATTGTGTCATATTTGTAGTTTCACCCAAACATATGCTTTTGCTTGTTTTTGTGATGACTTTGACTCCAACTGTTTTCAAATTGTGCCTTATTTTTGTTCTGAAACTGGAATTGTTAAAGACTATCTCTGCTGTTGGAATATAGGAAATAACAGGTGTACGACTTTTTATTTATTCATTTATAATTCACATAACGTAGTAAGGGTAAGAAGGAGATAGTTTGTAAGTCACAAATGGATGACTTGATGAGGGACCAACTCATGTATATACCCAGCCCTGATGTGGATGGTCTTTGTGGGAGTTTGTTGAGGTCTTTATGCATGTTTTAGGAATGCAGTGGGTTTCAAATTACACTTGATACACCTGCACAGGATTTTTTTTCTCTGACAGAAAACATCCAAGGATTAAACACTGAAGATAAATAAGTTTAGGAAAATTGTCTTAGTTTCAAAATGTACTCCAAAAAATAAAATCATAAATGTGGAGGTAGATGCCAAGGTGTGTAGAAAGCAGGCAGAGGTGGACAATAACAAAATGAGCCTAGAAAACAGTTTTGCTAGCTGTGCACACAAAAACAGATCACGATTTTTAAAAACTGATCTCTAAAAAGGAGGTGTCAAACAGAATATGGAAAAGTTTACCATTTTCTAGCAACCTTTAGTCACAAACTAGTGCCCAACAGTCGCAGCCCAGTGAGATACAACAGATTCAGATTCAACTAATTAAAGAGACTGATCAATGATGACTCACCTCAGGGAAGTTCTGCAGAGCAAAAGCTTTGGCCATGTTGTGTAGCTCGGTGCAACTCATGGCTTCAGCCATCGCCAGCACTCCCAGACAGTTAGAGGCAGTCAGCTGTTTCTCTGGAGTCAATTAAAGAAGGTCAGTGAGACGAGGACGGAGAGACAAAGGCAGCGGGGACAGGGAGAGAACAACAAAGAAAAAAAAAAAGACACACAGATTGATTAAGACAACGGGGAACAAAACACGTTTCAGACATCCATAAAAAGATGTACAGGGCTACAAAAACAGACAAAGTGGCTCCAGGTAGCACCGACTCAGCCTACTGGGCTTTGTATCTGCCCGAGACGAAGAGAGAACAGCTATAATAACTCAAAAGAGCTTCGGGGACAAACAACTGGGGGAATCGATCGCTCACAGCCCGGGCATGAGGTGGAGGATATCAGGGAGCAGGATGGGGGGATTAGCTGGGCCATTTTAAAGAAGTCCTGTCAGATCTCTGGATCTCCTACACACACGAAGACAAACGCACCACGAACGCACGAAGCTGCCCTGATGGCCACGCCAGCAGGAAGAAGGCTAACGCCACTGTTTGTGATCTTTTGTAAAGGTGCAGCAGCTCAGGCGTCATGTCTGCAAATGTTTCTTTCAGACAAACAACACTGCCGTTCATCAAATGAGACATCCTGTTGAAGCAGGTGGTGGAACAAACAGCCACTAAAATGTGTCTTAATTAAACAATACCTCGCACAAGGAAGAGGGACTTTTCTCACTTAAGACGTTGTGTGAGTGACACTGACGGTCACTAAAGATCAGATAAATCCCACATGAACAAAAGTCAAATCAAAAACCAAAGTCTAGATGCTTCATTAGATAAATCTTGGGGCTTTAATACTTTGTGTATATATATATATATATATATATATATATATATATATATATATATAT